CCGGACTCGCTGAACGAGGTACACAGATTGCGTACGTAGGTATCTGTGTTGTAGTTGTAGGTATAGTAGCACTTATCTATAACCACGTGTTGTTTAGCACTCTGCAGGAAATAGTTTAGTGTAATATGGACTTACAATTGTTGATTAGACGTTGGCACACACGCAATTACCAGACACCCATGTCCCACACAAATATTTTGTTGTTATATTATCATGTTGTTCTCATAGTGTTTGATTTCAATTAACAGGCAAACCCTTGCAGTTTCACCGGTCGATTAAAACATGACGTCTAGTAGGGTTTCACGAGAAACGCCTACACGGTTGAACTGATTCAAAGTGAACGCTATTTCATTGATCAATGCAAAAGAAAAGGCCGGTCCCACAAACGCAGGTGACTGGAGCATGTAATATATAAATTGAAGTACATACTAGTTTAACGTAGGCACATAAAAGCTATCAACGGGTATCGCCACACAACGCAGGTATATAATGAAGATGCCAAATCAATCCACATAAAAGAGATTTACCAATTCCATTACCTCGACACACAACGCAATAACTTCACAGATCAATCCAAATTGAAGACATTAAACAAATCCATCACCTCACCACACAACGCAAGAACTTCCCAAAATCAATCCAAATTCATTACATGTGTTAACCTGCCCTGTTTTTCCATCGGGGTCTACGCCTCAGAGGGGGGACCTTTCAATATCCTCGCTGCAATCGTGCCTCGGTAGCTCTTGGCATTGCCGAAGTCCTCACCGAGGAAGCCCACGAGATTGACATCTGGACCCGCCCGCGCATAACACTCTGCAAACATGCATACTAAAGGTCCACAGTCCAGCGTTTCACCCTGGTGTCGGCATCTAATGTACTCAGGCATGTCGCTGACCATAGGCCATAGTTGTGACGCGTTCATGTACAACGATAAAAATCGCGTATGAACAAATAACGTTACTCTTTCGTTAAGGAATTCAGCCTACCCATAGGCAATTAATTATAATCATTCCATAGACGTACCAATTTTTTTGCATTCCCCTGGCCGAAGTGGTCGTGCATTGAGTTACACTCCAGCACAACGCGTTTGACGCTATCCAATATGCAGAGATGTCAGTGGAACCGGGTGTGTACTAGTAGAAATATATACCGGCACCCAGACCGGATTTTTTTCATGATTCCGGCGATCTCTTGGCCTACGGTCACTTCCAGCGAGTTTGCAAATGCGAGCACATTACCCCTATTGATGATCGGCTTTTTCGCTCATCTGCTTGGTCGTGATAGCGCGTCGTTCACGGCTTTTTGAAAATCAAACAAAGCAATAATAACAGTGTGATTTGTAATATTAACCGTATAAATTCCAAATAGGATACTCACCGCTACGAACCATGGCACACAACCACACCGCACCTGCGGATTATGTTGGAGCTGATATTTATTGTTGCATAGATAATGTAGGTATGCGTCGATGACTTCGCCTTTCACAGCTTCATCAGATAGTAGTTCTAGAACAACATCGGACGAGATGGACACGATGCCCTGCTGCCATACAGTGTCCCTACAAGATGATAGCCGCAAATAGATAAAAACATCAATTGAGAAAAATATATAAAGCCTTAATAGTGAATAGCAATACCGGACGGCGAATGACGCGAGAAATTGTTCAATGGTGTTCGTCTCATCCTCAGATAAGGTACCCTTCCCACAGTAGCTGTCGTTATTGCGATATTCCTCCCACTTTTGTACTTCAGGGTCTGCTCCAACAGTAGCATCCGAGTCCTCATCTGCGAGCTCTAGCTAGTCACGAACCGTTCTCTTTACAACTTCGTGGCCTAAGCCTTTGAAGAATCGTCCTCGGGCTTGCAATAATTGTATTCGCCAACGACAAATGGTTCCTGAACCAACAATGAAGACAATCATGTTTCCATAGGTATTTGTATTTATTGTACAAGTATTGACTCAGAAACACTGGGTATTTAAGAATCTATCCGAAGTATTTTAAGCCAAACGACTGATATTTGTATCAAACTACGTACTTGCTCATTATTGACGTCGGCCGCTGACTTTCCTTTCGCCCTCCGTGATTTTCTTACTTTCTTAATTCGCGGTGTCGACACAGGTGTCATGAATTTAGGCTTCTTCTTTCTCTTCCGATCCTTACGTGCCATTACAACACGTACGATCGATGAATCTACGGCCCTGCTACAAGTCTCACCGCCGGACTCATCGGCCGGCTACGATTTCAACAGAGCAAACAATCATTCAACAGATAGACAACTATGACCTACAAAATGTACTTACTATATTAATTAACTTACCTTGACATCTATCGGTGCAATATACGGAACAATGTCCATCAGTTGGTTAAACTCTTGCAGGCTACCAACCCCTTCATCATCCGACTCGTTTATCGGATCAATTTCGGCCAAAAGGATGTCCATTTTGTTTTTTGCTTCGTCGCTCGGTATTCACTCGCTCTTCCGCTGCCTCATCGGGATGCTCCTCAGCCTGACTCTCCTCCTCCTCAGTTTGCTTCTCCTCCTCCTGACCCTGTTTCTCTTCCCCGTCGGCCTGCTTTTCTTCTTCCTTACCATGCTTCTCTTCTTCCTGACCCTGTTTCTCCTCCCCGTCGGCCTGCTTCTCTTCCTCCTCACCATGTTTCTCTTCCCCCGAGTCCTCATTGGTCTAATCTTCCTCATCCTCGTGCAGTTGTTTCCTCTCTGACTCCATATCCATCCTATCTGTTGTCTTCTCCCCATAGTTTGCGTCACCCTCCTCGTCCCCATCACTCTCATCCTCACTCACCTTCATTGTCATCATCGACAATACCAGCTCTAGCTCTTTGCAATTTTTGAACAAGTCTGGCAATTGCAGCGTCTTCCTTCCACAGCTCCACCTTCAATACCGCAATTTGCTGAGTTGCTTTCTGCAACATATGTTAATAATGTCATATAAGAAATTATTTTATCCAGTTACAATGGTAGCAATATTGAATAATGCATTTACCTTCGAAGCATAGCAAATTGCACGAACAAACTTCTCTTCGGTGCCTATTCGATAAAATTCTTGAATATCTGACCGCTTCAGGGATGACAATTCAGTCACTGCATGAACCTTGGACATCGGACCAAGGCTGTTCAGCCACCGAAAGAGCCGCGGTACCTTTGGAAGGCACCGTGCCTTGTCCAAAGTTAGGACTCTTTCATTGAACCAAGCCTGTACATAATAATAATCTCATTATTGCTAACAATAATAGTAATAGACATATTGTGCAATATACCAAAATAAGTAGAAAAAATTAACAAATCTGCTATTACATTGCTTACCAACAAACCGACTGTGCAGCCTGTCAAATATTTCTTTCCGAACTTAAAGTCTCTTATAGACTTCAAGAGATATCGGTGACTTGCGGATCCCCACGCATAGTCACCAATCGCAATCAGGTCACCACATACGGTAACAAAAAAAGGGTACATAATAATTCGCAGAACAAAATAAAATGTTTGCAAAAATAGGCAAAATAAAGAGACGGGCAACGTCCGCAACAGATACAGGCTCCAGCCTCTGCAATAGAGCCTTACGCAGCTTCTGCAACACCTCGCCACGGGTTATAGAACGCGGCTTGCTCCCAAAAATCCGAACAAACCATTCGCTTTCAACTGATGTGTTGTCGGTCACGTAGACTCCTTTCGCATGTAATCCTAAGACTACATAATATTCCTCAACTTCAAACGGAAACTTAATGTCACTTCCGATCTTGAACGACATAGACTCCGAACTAAAGTTATTAACGAGGGCAAGAAGGCGGTGCCACGGAAACTTCATTTTCGGGCAATCCAAAAAATGCCCGAATAGAGTCATTTTTATGGCTGTGATGTGTTCGTCCATCATGTGTTGCTTGAGTTTTCCCACCTCATTGTGAAAAAATGGTAATGAAAATTGGCTGATTACCGATTTGTACTCTTTCCCTGGCTTATAAGTAAATACCATCAGTCCACATTATCCAAATATCTAATTTAGTTAAAAATTTATCACAATTTATCAGGAGTACGTAAAAACATATTCCGAGTATACAATAAGTATATTACTTAGCAAATTAGACCAAACAAATGAAACTCTTGGTACTTAATAATACCGCATTTGTCAACACACAAATATGACTAATTACCGAACAATCCAACAATAAAACTAAAATATGCAACTTCGAGTAACTAAACAAAATATACATCTCCAAAATTAACAAAATCAAAGATAAAACAAATAAAATCACCCAAAATCGGTGCCAAAATAGAGCACCGAACCGGGTTTCCTGGCTAAAAATTTCGAACAATTTCAAACCCGTTGAACAAACACAACACCGAACACCCAGGGCTCCTCATCACCGAATTGAGGCATACAAATACGGGACCAAGACTTCTACCCCAAACAATCGAATAAACTACGGTATAAAATTCGATTGTCAACAAAATCATAAATCGAAAAGGGCTTCGACCAGACATTTACTTCTTTGAACTTGTCTTGGGGGATTGCGGCGGATTGGCTATTTTCCTCACCATTTCGCTGAACGAATACTTTATTGCTTGATCGTCAAGAGATTCGCGAGGGTCGATTAGCTTGAAGAACTAGGGCTTGGACGGAAAGTGAGGAAAATTAGGAGAGGTTTCAGCCTTTAAATCGTGTGTCTTTTTTTTTAAAAAAATCAAAAAGTAAAGTACGCGGTATTTAAATGAAAGTATCTAATCGTAATACAGGGGTAGAGCAGAAGGTAATATATGTATATATTATAAAGTTGGAAGTATTTATTAAATAATCGTAAATATACGTTGCATATACAACTGTGATTGAGTAAAAAATACAAAACAAAAGTTATAATATATCTAATTAATAAAGTAAGAATCGCAGACCAATTAATTTAAAATGGAGACTGAACTTGAACTAAATTGACATAATTTTAGTCTAACTCTCCCTAAATTTGATTGAGAATATTAGTTTTGATCGCCATATTTCTACCCGCCCTCTATACTTCAGTTTTTGACATAAAACCCTACGCCCTTCCCTCTCCCTCTCTTCTGCCATTTGTATCTCCAATCCATGGAAACCCTTTTGCTCTGATTGCACAAATTGGTGCAACGCGCTTCTTCCGTCGGCACGACCTTCATTAGTTGAGAAAAAAACAACGGAAAAGCTTGAGGAGAAGGTACAGGATGAGTACGGTCGATAAAATGTTGATAAAGGGCATCCGGAGCTTCGACCCGGAGAACAAGAACGTCATAACTTTTTTCAAGCCATTGACTCTCATCGTTGGCCCAAACGGTGCTGGAAAAACGGTAAGGATTTACATGTCCATGTGTATGTGTATCTATGACTTCGAACTTGGAAAGGAGATAATGGCTGAAAATTTGTTTGTGCGCGGGGACGGAGGGAAGTGTGATCTTGTTTGGGCGTTTTTTTATGTTGCTACGTGTGTTTTGAAGGAGAGTAGCCTAACGAAGTGAATGATTTCTTTAAGCTAATTATGTTTCGTCAGGAATTATAAACCAGTATTTGATGGTGCTTTCTTTTCTCAAATGTTTTTTAGACTATTATCGAGTGCTTGAAAGTGGCCTGCACAGGGGAATTGCCTCCAAATGCACGTTCTGGTCATAGCTTCATTCATGATCCCAAGGTCTGTACAATATTTCTTTCTGTATGTGTTTCGGGTTAGAGAAATGGGTGTAAGTATGCGTTTTCATTTTGCTGGAAATGGAGCTATTAGGTGGCTGGAGAGACAGAGACAAAGGGTCAGATAAAGCTGAGATTTAAGACAGCTGCCAGGAAAGATGTGGTCTGCATTCGGTCCTTTCAGCTCACTCAAAAGGCTACCAAGATGGAGTACAAAGCAATTGAGTCTGTTCTCCAGACTATAAATCCGCAGACTGGAGAGGTAAATCACTAGGCATTATGACTAATTGAAAGTGCCACTAACACCCACTTTTCTGTGATATCCTTTTAATATTTGATCTCTCTATTGTTTAATGGAGTTTTATACATGTGATCATATCTATAGATCTGGTTTATGTTTGCAAAACCTATGTAGTCGAGCAACTTCCTTTTTATTTTTTCATTGTAAAAAAAGTTAGCGTTGGTCGAGGGATTTTGTCTATGCATGCATTGCTTGTTTCTATGCTTTTAGCCGGTTTAACGCCATGCTGATCTTTAAATTGCTTGGATTTTGGATTATTGTGCTATTTTTAAACGTTAATTTTCTGAAATAAATTCTCCCACATGCCTTGAGATGTGGCATCTCCGACTATGCATTAAAATTTGAACTTTATTTTAATTTTTTGATTGTTATTTTGCATAAGACGACGTATTGGGTTGATAGACTATGAAAGGGGGAGAGTTCTTCAACAATTAATAAATCGAACTATGGGAACCCATAGCATAGTGGACAACCAAGACAATTTGGATGTTGTAATCTGTTACTGGTTTTGGAGTGCTTTTACTGTTTTGAGTTCAGCCTGTTTGCGAATCCACATTTTTACGAAGTAAAACTTTGTAGAAAGCTGGCAATAGTGTAAGGTAGGCATTGAAATATTGCTGAGATATGGACATTGATCTGATGTTAAAATAAGCTACGGTGACAAAACTCTGGTAGCACCTTTTATTAACAACAAAAAAAAAGTAATATCCTATTCCATTTGGAGAAAAAGCAATTTATTTTTTACCAAGGGTACAAGAAAGTGATACGAAGTTTCCATAATGCTACCTGGTTAGCTTGCTTTAGGTGGATAATTGTGACCACTATTAACTTCTGAAGCAAACTGCGATGGTGTTCTGAAGAAATTAAGCAATTAAATGCATCTTTAAATTTTAGATGGGGATGAGAAAGATATTGTTTTGGCAAGGGGAATTTAAGTTAATGTGCCATTAGAGATTGCAAAATTTCAAGATGACCAGACAATTAAAAATAGGAAGTTTTATATATTGTACATTATAGAACATTCCTTTTCTTTTGTGAAGCTGGTGTTGGTTCTAAGTTGTAACTTACTGAAACTGTATTTCTGGTTAAACTGTTGCCTCTTTGAACATTCAAACATTTGGACATTGTTGAGCGCTTATTGTGGACATCTAGATGGATCCATATATTATCTTTGAACATCAGGTTAATAAATAAAATTTTGAAATATTGACTTGTCTGTCAATGGAGCTGGACTAGTGAATTTTAGGAAGTCTGTTGTTTGGTTTCTTATCTTTCTAGCTGGAAATGGGTATTAATAACTATCACTAAAGCAGCTTATAACCTATGAATGGACTTTAATAGATATGAAATATGCCTTGACTTGTTTTTCTCTATGTTTAGAGGTTAAAACATACCTTAAAAAAGGAAATGAATCTAAACTATGGGATGATCAAATTATGTGCTTCAGATGTCCTTTCAGAGTGGTAAGTGACAGACGTGAGGAAAACCTGGTACTGTTCAGCAGTAATTGGAGGTTCAGCAGTGGACGACATACACTTCATCATCTAAGACCACAAAATTATGTTATCGGTAATTTATGTTGTGTGTAATAAAAATTCAAACCTCGAGGCTAGTAAACATGCCAGGATTTTAACGTTAGTTAAATCTGCTAAGGTCAAACTAAATGGTAACTTCAAGGCATTACATCTTGTTGATTGGTTATAGAGCATATAAGATGTTAGAACTTTAAGGAAACATCATAGAATGTGATAAAAACTGGTATTGGATGTAATGTACTTTAACCTAATTTTTGTTGTCATTGTTCATGTGGCATTTCCTCAAGATATCCATTCCAGTGTATCTATCTGTTATATTTGCCTTTTCACTACACAAGTGATTTTTCTCCCCATTTTTTATTTTTTAAATTATTATTAAACTACTTTATCTTCAATGTCCTCAAAGTAGTTCATCTTTTTGTTGACCTGATGAATTGTATCCCAAAGCTTAGAGTGGTTGAAATTGTATCTTATGGCATTTATAATATTTGCAAGTGACAGAAAGTTTGTCTAAGTTATCGTTGTGCTGATATGGATCGAGAAATACCTTCTTTGATGGGTGTATCTAAGTCTATTTTGGAGAATGTTATATTTGTTCATCAAGATGAGGCAAATTGGCCGTTGCAAGATCCATCAACATTGAAAAAGAAATTTGATGATATATTCTCCGCAACTAGGTATGTGGCGTTCTATGATAAAGCAAATAGTTTTTCTTTAGATGATCGTTATGATTATTATAGCTGGAGTCTTTATTGAAGCTAAAAAAAAAAAAATCATTCTTAAATGATGAGTGATCTTCCTAATACTAGAGATAAATGTAGATATCAGGGTAAGCAAAATAAATTTAAGGCTGTGTTTACTAGTGTTTCTATGTCCATGTTTGACACCATTTAATCTACAGTAACTTTCATTTTCATTCCAAGCCATTGCATCCAACATCTATTTTTATTCAAAACATCATATCCAACACCCATGTTCACCTCAATATTTTCAAAACTAAGAAAAAAAGGGGATTAAAAAAAAAACAGAAAACCATATCACAAGTCATACAGATCCCTATTAACAGCAAATCCATTTTCTCAGATAGCTCAAGTCCCTATGCTCAGCTCCTGTACTTAGTATCAGTTCTTATTATTTCAGTCCCTCTATGTGTCTCTATCTATCAGGAGTTCCTACCTCCTCATATTGTAATGTTCATACTTTATTATGGCTTTGTTGTTATTGTTGTTGTTGTTGTTGTTGTTGTTGTTATTACTATTATTATAGGAAATACACAGGGTTTGTTCACCCATTCTATTTTTGAGTGGCACAATTTTTCATAAATATTATAAAAAATAGTTATATACATATTAACACAATATATATATATAATATATATACTCTATTTACCCACAAAAAATCAAACAATTCAACACAAATATTATTTTTTATATTATCTGTTGAGATATTTTAGATATTCGGTTTTAGATTTAGTAAATTTATATTTAGAGTTGGTCTTCTCTATATATTAGATTACTTAGATTTGAGTTTATCGAGTCCGTTTTGTATTGCCTATATATAGACCTCTTATTTTGACAATAAATAAGACAATTTCATTATTTTTTCCCAAAAATTTCTAACATGGTATCAAAGCCTATTTTTCTCATGCCATAGATATAGCCTACCAACCCATGTTTCTCTAGGTACATTCAGCCTACATTGTATCGGAGGTCTTGTGATTTTGAGATCATGCTATCTGCCATCTATCCGTTGCCTGCGTGCAATCTAAAATCTATATGCTATCTACCATCTGTCCGTTGTCTGTCTGTTGCCTGCGTGCGATCTGAAATCTATCTGCTATTTGTATGTTGCCTGCGTACGATCTGAAACCTGTCTGCCATCTGTCCGCTGCTTGTCTGTTGTCTGCGTGCGATTTGAAACGTGTCTGCCATCTGCCATTTGTCCGTTGCTTGTCTGTTGCTTGTGTGCGATCTGAAATTTGTCTGCGATCTGCCATTTGTCCGTTGCTTTGTTGTTTGCGTGCCATTTGTTTAGTGTTTGCGATCTATCTATTTTCGGCTCCGGTGGACAGTCATGATGTTTTCAGCTCCGGTAGAGAGTCATCTCGTTTTCGGCTCTGGTGGACAGTCATCTCGTTTTCGGCTCTGGTGGAGAGTCATCTCATTTTTAGCTCCGGTGGAGAGTCGTCTCGTTTTTTGCTCCGGTGGAGAGTCATCTCGTTTTTAACTCTGGCGAAGATTAATCTCGTTTTCGACTCCGGTGGAGAGTCATCTAGTTTTCAATTCCGGTGGGGAGTCATCTAGTTTTCGACTCCGGTGGAAAGTTATTTCGTTTCCGGCTCCGATGGAGAGTCATGTCGTTTTTGCTCCGGGTGGAAAGTCATCTCGTTTTCGGCTCCGGTGGAGAGTCAATTGTTATTTTTATTTGTATTTTTTTGCGTTTATATTCAACTTTCTCAGTAAACTCAAGTTGGTTTTTGTTATACCACTTGATTTTGAGGGGGAAATGTTGATATTTAGATATTCGGTTTTAGATTTAGTAGATTTATATTTAGAGTTGGTTCTCCATATATTGGATTACTTAGATTTGAGTTTATCGAGCCTGTTTTGTATTATTGCCTATATATAGGCCATTTTATTTTGATGATCAAGAAGACAATCTCATTATTTTCCTCCAAAATTTCTAACATTATCGAACGAGTTCCCATTTTTTAAACATAGAAAACACATTCATCCAAAACCACAAAGTGAACACACATAAATATCAGACAACGGTCTCAAATCCAAACAATCGAAAATCAAAATTTAAAATTTGGAAACTAATATTTTGTTATTATTATTATTATTATTATTATTATTATTATTAATATTATTATTATTATTATTATTATGCGTTTGTGTTTTGGTTTTGATGTTTTTCAAATGAAATAGTTGTGATGTTTGTATGGAAAATAGGGTTGGATGGGATGTTTTTGAAGGAGAATTGTGAGATGGCATTGAAAAAAATATTTAAAGAGAACAAATCCTAAGAAAATACAATACCAACGGTGTTACATTTTGCAGAGTTTTAGAGTTTATTAATAATGAAATTATGGTCTATTTATAGAGTTTGATTGGTTGTTGTTTGAATATGGATGGATTTCATAACTGGGTATCAATTTTGAATAATTCCAATAGATTTCTCTACTGTAGTGGCGGTGCAAAATCCTATGAAAGTAGGGTTTTGGCCAAATTAAAGTTAATCCTCTGTCGCAAACAGTGGCACCTGCGATCCTATGTCATAACAGCCGCTCAAAACCCCAAGAAATTGAGATTTGGGTCAAACTAGGATTTTTGATGGTGGCAATCATTTGTCACCGTTGTGGCAGCGGTAATCCTTTTCACGTTAGTGGCATCAAATTAGGGTGTCTAGTGGCGGCAATCCTCTATTGCTGCGGCACCGGCACCTGCAATCCTCAGTCGCTGTGGCGGTGCTAAACCTTAATAAGTAGAAACTCTCTTGAAATGATTGAATACTAAACCAAAAAACTTATTTAAAAATGAAAACAACTTGAACGATTGGTCGGAGGTATCCAAGGAAGATGTCACTAGAACAATTATAGCTAATCTCATATTTGGGAGGCTAGGATTCGAGTGGCAAAAGTGTGATATTTGAGGATCTCTAGGTATATTCCTAGGTTATGGGGATGTACCAGGAGAGAAGTAGCTTTGATACCATGTACATTTTGGGAGAATTTATGGTTGTTCATTAATAATGAAATTAAGGGTGTGTTGGTTTGGGGGATTGGATTAGATTTCCACTATTCATCCCATTTTTTTCCCCCAAAAACATCAAATCAAACACCTATTTTTTATTTTTTATATTATACTAAAAATCAATTTTACATTCAAAACATCACATCAACACCTATTTATATCACATCATACAACTATTCAAATTCAAAATTTTTACTATTCAAATCCCAACTCAAAATCCAAACCCCCAAAACACACCCTTAGAGTATTTATAGGTACAAGACAAAAAGATACACTAAATAATAACACCCTTATATAGTAGTCACTATGTATGCTTAACTAATAACTATCAAATTTAAATATTAATCAAAATATCTATTTAAAATATATTTTAACAACCAGAATCAAAATTAGAAATACATTTGCTGTGTAAGCTGAAATCAACTGAAATTGAAAAGCATGGAACGGTAGTTCAGATCATAACGGTTTTGAATTGAAACTATTGGAACCGGAACTGTTCCCCCAAATTGGCCAAACTGAAACTTTGACTTAGAAGGTTGAAGGTCCAATTGTGATTTCACTGATTTGACATTTTGAAAAACCAAAATTGGCTGTTTGAATCGGATGGGGAAGCCTAGTCCAAGCACCTGCAATGTATATGTATGCCCTGTTTGTAAAGCATGTTTCAAGGTACTCTAGTTTTGGAAAGGGGCATGCTTTGCAAAACACCCTTCTTACCATTACTCCATCTTGAAAACACCCCAAAAGTCTGGGTGAAGGATATGCCTAAATTTTTCTAAAGTTACCATGTAATTTAAAGGGTGTGTTACTTTGTGGGTTTGGGAGTTGGATTTTAGGTTTTGAATAATATATATATATATTGAATTGAAATAGTTAATTGATGTGATATAAATAAGTATTGATTGACGTTTTGAAGTAAAATCAAGGGTGTGTTTGCACAACAAAAGAAACCAACTCGATTCCGTCCCAATTCAAAGTACTTTTCTTACTATTTTCGTCTTTCCCACTTCAAAGTATCTTTTTCCTATTTTAGAAAAGTAATTATACACTAATTACCAAAATACCCTTAACTCGAAAAAAGATCAAAAATTCTTACACACTTCCACTAACTAATAAAATATTATTATTCTTTAATCTACTACAAAATTTCAAAAGGCCCCGTTGAATTGGGACAGGGAGTATAAAATAATACAATAATTACACACAATAATATAAAATAATCAAAATATTCAACAGTTCCTTACACGAGTATTATTTTTTATATCTCGACATATTTTTTCATACCTCACATAGAAAGTAAAAAGTTTCCCATACTTAGCACCAAAAATAACTTTATTTAAAAACATACCCTAATTTTTAGTGTAAAGTAAAAAAATAAAAAATAAATATTTGACTTGATTTTTTTAGGGGAAAATTTTATGAATAGTGAAAATCTGGTTCAAAACCCTCAAACAAACATAACCAAAGTTTTACCCGTATTTTCCTGAGTTTTTTTTTTTAATCACAATTTCTCCAAATCATGTATCATCACACTTCCGTGGATTTAAATGAACACTAGTGTTTTATTTAATCACAATTTCTCCAAAAGTGATGTGCCTCTTTGGAAAAAATTTGCGAAGATGTTCGGACATAGCCAAAGCAAAATGAAATAGATTAATATCTTCTAACCTAACATGGTCATGGTTATGTTCATTTTTTTTTTTTTATTCAAATATTTTATTTTATTTGTTCCTAATAGTATGTCATTGTTGAATCTTCTAAGGTACACAAAGGCATTGGAGGTTATAAAAAAGCTGCACAAGGATCAGGGGCAGGAGATAAAGGCGTATAAATTAAAAGTGGAGCATCTGCAAACACTAAAAGATGCAGCCTTTAAGGTTTGTTTTTATTGTCCAGTACATTAGCCGATAATTTTCTCTAACTTTCAGTGTAATTCTTACTTAAAATTCATTCGCTTTAGTTTTACTAGGTGAAATTATTTCATGGTTAATTGGTTATCTAACCATGTTATATTATTTAAAATTTATTTTAATAGAAAAACTGCAAAAGGGCAGATATGTGATTTGTCTCATTTCTATCTTTAAATTATTTTAAAACAATCTATATTCAAACCCTAAAAAAACAAGGACATAATAAAGCCTCACCTTGTACAGATATGTATCACATATTCTTATGAATTGAACCTAACTGAGTATAGTAGGAGTATTAGAGCAGTTTAATATTAATAAAATAATAATTGATAAGTTTCCTATCAGCTTTACCTTTTAGGTGTGGTGAACATGTAATATGGTCTCAAAGCAAAATGTGTTGTTTGTTTCAACTTATCAACATACCAGCTGTATCATTTTTATGACAACGGATGATTGATTACTTTATTGTGATACTATTACTAAAACATAAGTATACATGACGTCAGTGTTAGATTTACATAATTTTTAGGGATGAATAAGTTCATATTGATAGTTTTGTCTGGCTATGCTTATATAGTGTAGTGGTCTATAATGTGTTCCCAATGTCAATAAATAAAAAGTTAAACATAATAGCACCCTTTTCTGGAATATTGATATGTTAAGAACCTAAACTTTCTCTATTAGGGGGTGTTTGGTACAGAGAAATTGGGATAGAGAAATAGAAATGTCCTAATTTCCCTTGTTTGTTTGAGACGAAGAATTGAGAGTTGGGATATAAATCATTTCCTATTCCTTGATTTCATTTCTCTCCTGTATGCGGAGAAATAGAGAGAAATGAAATGGGGAGAGTTAATTATGTGTTTATTTTTTACATTTAATTTTTACGATTTAATTTGTATTTATTTGTTATGTATTTCTTACTATTATTTATTCTTTTACAATATTTATATTATACAAATCTCATGAAATTTCATATTTAAATTATTATTAAAATAAATTATCAAACTAAAAATATAATTAAAAAATACAATAATATTTTTTTTATCTAATTTATTAATTTTTGAAGATCGTTTTTTTTTTTTTTTTTTTTTTCCAATTAGCAATATAGCGTATTCTCTTTAAGCATTGTATTTTTTTTACATTTCTCAACTTGAATTCTCTGTTTTACCAAATAAAAGAATCAATTCTCATTCTCTACTCAATTCTTTTTCTCTACAATTCTATTCTCTACTGTCATTTCTCTGCAATTCCATTATGTGTGCCAAGCGCACCCTTAGCGCTTTGGTTTATTCTTTTTCTTGATATACTCCAATCCTGTAAACAATATATTTTGTTATGAATGCCATTGAAATTGATATTTAAGTAACATCAGTTAACATTTTGTATTTTCATATAGCTCCGACAAAGCATCACGCAAGATCAAGAGAAATCAGAGGTATTAAACAGTCAGATGCAGGAGCTTGACTTAAAAATTCAGAACATGGACAGGGAAATCAATCAAACTGAATCAGTGCTGAAGGACCTACAGAAATTACAAGGTCAGATAGCTACAAAGTCAGGGGAAAGAAAATCCAAGTTTGACGAACTACAGAGACGTCATGAAGCACTTACTGAGGAAAATGAAGGCATATCAAACTATACCATGATCTTGTTATTCATTGTCCTTGATTTGATGTTTCTGATTTTCCTTGTCTGGGAATAAGAGTTATTGATTCTCCTGTGTGTTATAATATATTTTTCTTCAGACACTGATGAACAACTATTTGAGTGGAACTCCAAATTTGAAGAAAAGATTGGACTTCTAGAATCCAAAATCAGGAAGTTGGAGAGAGAAAAAGATGATATAGAGGATAAAAATCGAGTTCTCGCTGATGTAATTAAAAAAAACATGGAGGAGATTGTGAAGCTTCAAGCTGCTGCTGATGTAATATTTAGGGTTCAATGGAATTAGATATTTTATTTTGATATGCACTATTGTCTTCTGTTTTGGAAACTGTCACCTTTCTTATATGATGTTCAGGCTCACACATCTTTGAAGAATGAAAGAGACTCTACAATTAAAAGTCTATTCAGAAAGTATAACATAGGTTCTCCCCCTGGTGGACCTTTTAGTGATGAGGTTGCTTTTGACCTTACTGGACGAATTCAATCCAAGTTAAAGGATCTTAACAAGGACTTGCAAGAAAAAAAGGTGCTGTTGTTTTTCTCATTCTTCAAAACGTGCTTATAAGTTAGTATTTTCTTCTGCCTTTTATTTCTGGCCTCTTTACCCTCTCAGTGATATTTTCATGCTGCTACTTTGGAGCAATATATTACCAATAACTAAAACTAGAAGACAAAGATAGCTTGATATCACTCTTTTCTTTTGAACCTGCAAAGGTAGTTCATATATGAAAGATAAAATTGCTCATAACTCTCCTGTTATTTTGAAATTCAGCGTAAAATCTTTGTATACTTTAAAAATTGCATAGCACCCCCTTATGCTTTCAGAAACGTTGCATAAAATTTCACCTCCATTAAGTCTCTCTTGTGTGATAAGAAGATGATTTCCTGTCTATAGTTTTTTTCATGGTGGACGGTTTCATGCAACATTTTTTAAAGTATAAGGTAGCGCTATGCATAGTTGTCAATCACGGATAGCGGTGCGTAGCGGTCAATATTTAAAATGCTATAGCGGGATAGCAAATAGCGGTATGACCGCTATTTAAATATTTAAGAATATATATATATATATATATAAAATTATTATATATACAAAGTTATAACAAAAATACATAAGAAGAACCTATAAATTAATTTAATAATTATCACCCAAACCAATAAAATATCAAAATATATATATATATATGATCATAACTATTAGAGAGTTATATAAGCAAAAAAATAAATTTGATCACTATAGTGTAATAGAGATATATCAAAGCTATTCAGATTCAAAATCTAATAAAATTTTATTCCTCATTTTCATTGTCTTCACTGTTTAATTACTTTTGTCTATATATTTTTTTCTTCTTCATTTTTATCAATTTATTCAATTGTATGTTCGTCACCTTGTATAATATCATTTCCCTTTTTAGAGCTAGAAGTACCTATAGCTTTCTTTCTCATTGATGTATTGATGTTTGTATCTTAGTGTAGATAGCAGACCTATTAGCATCAACAACTACTCCCCTAGTCAAATTATCATTGTCAAAGACTAACTTATCCTCCGCAATTATCAACTTCTTTAGTTAATCACTCATTGGAATCATTCAAAACAATAGGACCAATCATATCATTGCTACCATAATGATCTAACAAATTTTGGTTATACTTTATATAAATTAAATTTTGTAATTTTTGGCTTTCTAATTTGTTTATTTTCTCGAAATGAATTTAAAAATTTAGTTAAGATTTAAGATGAATGTTTTTTTTTTTGTTTATATTATAATAAAAAAGTACATTTTATAAGTTAAAGTTAGATTTCAATTATTTACTTGTTAAAGAATAATCCAATAAGCTACAATAGCGGTATAGCGTAACATAGCGGAGTGCTGCTACAGGCTGCTACACCGCTATTGCGTAAATGCGGAATTGCGGAACGGTCATAGTAGCAGAGTGCCTTTCCGCTACGCTACACCGCTATTGCGCCGCTATAGTGCACTATTGACAACTATGGCACCATACAATTTTTAAAGTTATATGGGAATTTACGCTGAGTTTCGAAACCATAGAGGGGTGTTATGCAACATTTTTGAAAATATAACGGGGCGCCACACAAATTTTAAAGTAAAAGAGGGATTTATGTTGAGTTTCGAAACCACAAGGGAGTTATGGACAATTTTGCCTATATAAAACTATGAAGGCAGTGTGGTAGAACATCACTCATGTCCATAGTTAATATGAGAAGTCTTTAGGAGCATGACTTTCTGTAGGCACTTTGAATAAATAAAAATTCATTTCCAAATTCTGTGATTATATAATGCATTAGATTGAGCAATGAGCATTATAGCATGCATAAAATTTCTATGTGGATTGTGGAACAGTTTGTGCTGAGATACACCTATAATGATGTTGTAAATGAGAGAGAGATACACCTTAAAGACTCTTGATTAACATGGGATTTGTTCTATCTTTTCGCTATCGCGAGATTTTTGCTAGTACTCTTCAGTCTCTTTTTCTCTTGCATGATATAGATACTTTTCTAGGCACAGGAGAATTGTTCCCTGTAAGATTTTCCTTGAAGTTAGGAATGGCATGGAGTCTGCATAAAAATCTCTTTTGGTAGCATTTTCCTTTTCCATCATCATAATCATTATGTGCTGCCTCTCTAACCACTTGCTTTCAATTAAGCGTCCCACTTGTGAAGGGATTGTAGGTCAAGTGGTTGAGCTACTCAGTTCACATCCTAGAGGATTGGGGTTCAATCTCAATAGAGCACAATGGTGAAAAAAAAAAAAGAAAAAAAAGAGCGTCCTCACTTCTTTATATAATTGTTTGAGAATGGTGGATTTGGCCCTAATGTTGTACTTATACTCATTCATCAGAGTGATGTGTGGGTTTTCTCTTAGTGATTCGCAGTATGCACCCTCTCCTGGAGCCCAAAATATAGCTAAGATTTCTTCACTTCCACCGTCTGTTTCATTGAAAATTCACTTCCACCTCCATTGCATTGATTTGCTTCAATGTTCAACATCATTGGATTTAAGCAGTTATTCCGACTTCTAATTGAAAAGGATTTCAGCAAGGATATATTAGTAAGTCTAACTTGGGACCATCTGATTAGGATTTTTGTCTTGTACCATGTGTATTCTCGAGGTTTAGAAATTCTACCAGGTTGTCATCGTTGTTTACGTAGCGTGCACTTTTTTCTGCCATTCTCTTGGGAATCTGTTGTTCTAAATCCATTTCAGAGACCATCATCTGATTCTTGTTAACAATCTGGGATTTCCATTGCCCTACTAAATAGATATGAAATGCTGCTTGTTGAGAGACTCTGGGAAGTTGAGTACAAGTAAACTCATACTATACCTGGTTTTGCTATGTTTCATCTACCATTATCTATTAGATTCATAGATTCAACAGTTCAGTTTAATTGATTAAATAGAAAACTCTATGCCATAGAAATGAACTAGTAGAATCCTAAAATTTCAATGCAATTTGCATCAACATATTGGTGAGATTTTAAGAATATAAAGATTCAATGTTTAAAACATAATAATTATTTTATAGAAAGGATATTGGATTAATAACAAATTAAATGGTGATGTGAAATTTATATTGCCAAAATTGTGTTTAAATATAGAATAGTGATATGCAGGCAAACATGTATACTGGAAATGTGATGACTTATATGTAGGAAACCCAAGCAAGATGTGGATTATAGAGTGCCAGCAACTATGTTATATCTTATAATACTTTAAACCTGAAATTGGGAAAGTTTAGTTATTTAATTGGGTAACCTTTTTCCCTAATTTCATTGGAGATAACTTCCAAATGAAATAATATTCATTTGTTTTTCCCACTTCATGATTGTATCTGATATTTGGTTGGCAAGATAATGATATGTTGAAATCCTGATTCTTGGAGCTGTATGACTAGTTTGACTTGGTGCTTTACAACCCTGTTTTCAGTCTTGTGGGCTTCATTAGGTTGTTCATCTTTTGGCTATGATTTCAATATGATGGGTAGTTGTCTGACATCTTGTGTTATACAGAAATCTAATGATGTAAAACTTGAAATATCGTGGGATCAATACATGCATGCAAATGACCGTTGGAAGGAGATTGAGGCTCAAAAGGAGGCTAAAGCAGATGTGAAGGTTTGAGTTTGAGATAGATTCCTTTTTTTTTTTTTTGCATGCCTTTACTTGTAATTATTATGTCATCTGATTTGTCAGGCTGGCATTTTGAAACGAATTCAAGAGAAAGCAATTGAGCATGACACTTATGAAGCCCAGATTTCTTCCGTGGATGTTGCTATGCTTGATGAGAGAGAAAGGAACCTGGTAAAATCAGTGCTTATCAACCTTTAGGAAGTTTCATCGTTCTTTGCATAAATTAACATCTTCATCTTAGTCATGCAGCAAATTGAGGTAGAAAGGAAATCTAATCAAGTTGCTGCTAAAGATTTTGATTTGCTTATAAGACAAAAGCAGCGTGAATGTTTTACTGTGGATCAAGAAATCAAGGCTCTTAGTCAGGAAAGGGATGCCATGAATGCTGATTCCCATGACCGAGTCGTTATTTCTCTTAAGAGATCTGAGTTGGAAAACCACAAAAAAAAACACAAAAGAATGCAAGTTTCATAAACTTAAATCTGAGATCTTTCAATTTGCTAATTGGTTTATACAATAACTGTTTGATCTTGCAACTGCTTTGTTTACATTATGCAGAGTGGATGAATACAAGGACAAAATTCGACGTGTGCTGAAGGGTAGAATGCCTCCGGAAAAGGATTTGAAGAATGAAATTGTTCAGGTCGAAAGGTTGTGAATTTCTCTTTCATCTTTTCTTCAGTAGGTTGGATTTACTTTCTGACGTTTAATAACACACTTATAACTTCCTTGATGTCATAAAAGGCTCTATCTCATATCTTTCCAGTAGATGCTTTTTAACTATTATCGAATATTTAGCTTTTGATCTATTTGTCATCTCTTACATAGTTTGTGTATATGGGAGTTACATGAAGGCTCCTCCTGTTTTTGGTCTCTGATGTAATTCATCTTATTTATATCTTAGAGATTTCTTCCTTCCACTGACCTAGACGTATTTTTAACGAATCTCCTTGGCCATTTAATTTCTTGTTTGTTTTTTAAAAATAGTTTATGTTGACATCTATAAGAGTGAAAAACGGTTTACCTGTTTTTGAGATTTTCTAATATCCAATGTTTGGTGCCCAACCACCCAAAACTTAAGAGGAAAATTTCAAGGTTGATATAATTTATTGAGGTGTACTAGTACTGTGCTCTAATCATATTTCTTGAGACCTTTGCACTAAGAGTCACTGTTACCTCAAAGTGTAAAAGAAAAACTTGGAAATCTCAATATTCTTGCTATTCTGGACTTTTTTTTTTTTTTTAATTTTTTATCTTCATGTGGATTCAGTTCTCTCCGGAGAGAGTATGATGATTTAGACAAGAAGGCTGGTGAAGCTAGGAATGAGGTCACTACGGTGAAGTTAAAAGTAGATGAAGTGAACAGTAATTTGTCCAAATTCCACAAGGACCTGGAATGTAAGTTATATTCGGTTTTGTTTTTTTTTTTTTTTTATTTATTTATTTAATTTTCAAGTTCTTGGACTGCAAATGTTCTTACTTCTCTTCAAGTTTTCAATGTGAAAAATTTGTGCTTTAGGTGCTTGTAATACTTATGCAAACTATTTGTATCTAATACAAAAATTCCTTTATTCTGGAGAGGCAGCACCTAGGTTGTTCACTTTTCTGTTTTGTTTTGTTTAAATTTCTGAACTATAGTATTGTGCATTCTTAGGCTCTTTACCTTGCAACGATTCTACTCTTAAAAAAAATTTTAATTATGGATTGTTCTGACTTCTGAATATGCTACAGCAAGACAGAGATTTATCGAATCTAAACTTCACTCATTGGGCCTCCAGCCTGCTAGTATTGACTCCTATCTTAAAATATTAGAGGCTGCCAGAGAAAAGACCGATGTCCAGAAAAGGTTGTGCTTGCTCATTCATTTGTGATAGTCTTCTTTGTGGATTGTTTCTATATGCTCAGAGATTGCAAATCAATGCAGTAAATATAACATTGCTGATGGCATGAGCCAAATGTTCGATGCGTTTGAAACCGTTGCTCGGGCTCATCATATGTGCCCTTGTTGTGAGAGATCCTTTTCTGCAAACGAGGAAGATGAATTTGTTAAAAAGGTTATGTTACTGGATCTTTTTTGGCAATGAGGTGCCATTCACTTTATAATGTTTAACCGATGATGTACTAAATCCAATTTAACATCTCACAGCAAAGAGTGAAAGCAGCCGGTTCTGCTGAGCGATTAAAAGCACTGTTAACAGACTCTTCAAATACTGATTTTCAATTTCAACAACTAGACAAGCTTCGAGTGGTCTATGAAGAGTATGTCAAAATTGGCCAGGAATCAATTCCTCTTGCCGAGAAAAGCTTGAATCAATTAAATGAAGAAATGGACCAAAAGAATCAGGCTCTTGATGATGTAATTATTAACTTCGGTATTTTTCTTTTAGTTGTGTACTTGACGACCATATTTTTGGAACTTTTTTTTTCAAGATTTTCTATGAGAGTTCCCCTTCTAAACGATTGCCTTTGTTTTACTATTACTTGCTACTTTTTCTAAGTTATTGATTGCAGATAAAAATTATGAATATACCCAATCTACTTGGGTGTTTTCAGTTTTCAATATATATTTTTTTTCTTTTAATATGTTTTGTGTTTGTGTTTTTGTTTAAATAGTAGTTTGATGTGATGTTTTGTGAAAGGATATAATTTATTTTAATTGGAGTAGAGAGCATGGGGAATTAATAGTAAAAAGACAGAAAAAAAGTTGCAAAAAGAACAAAGCCATTGTGATGTGACTGGAGTTATACTAACCTATTGATCCTGTTTTACTTATAATGAATCATTGTGGTTGTATCGAGATATTTAAGATTTGTAGTTTTTGTGTATGTTATTAGGTAAATGAGTGGTTATTACTCTCAGAAGTATGGGATCAGCGTAATATTAGCATGAGGTGCCTTAACTAGAAGCATACACGAACATACCTTATCTTAACATTTTACTTCTTCATGATCAGTACCCAACCACATCTTACCTAGTAGGCTACTATCCATGAGACTGATCCAGATCATTTATTTTAGTAATTATGGAAAGGCCAAGGTATCATCACGAGCTCTTATTATTTGCCATATTCATTCAAATAGGTTGACAAGTAATCTCACAAGCTTGGGTCGCTAGAAAAGCTTCATTTTTGCTAGTTTTTCAATAAATTACGATCAAACCCAGTTTTTTGTAGTAACATAATATACCTTTCTGTTCTCACTAGTTTATGCTGTTAGCAGTTCACAATCGTGATAGTGGGGCCTTTCTGCAGTATCTTCTGTTGTATAACAGAACCTCCTGTGGTAATCTTGATTAAAAAGAATCTTCTAATTGTAACAATTTCTAAAGATTATTATAATTGAGGCAGAATCATTATTTTTTTTTTATACTGGTCTATCTGTTGGCGTACATAAGTTTGAATATGGTGATTGCTTGAGATCTCTTTATAAGCAGCTGTCTCTCTCTCTCGCTCTCTCTCTCTATATATATATGTATAGTTTATACGCAGGCCTATAGTCTTAATGATCCTTTGTTTTTTGAAATTTTGGAATGCCATGAGTGAGAATTCAAAGTGAGCGTCTAGTATCTTCTGTTGTGAACCACAGTTAGCTCTTAGTTTCTTACAAGCAATTTAATACAGGTTGTGGGTGTTTTAGCTCAAATAAAGGCTGAAAAGGATTCTGTTGATGAGTTAATGCAACCAGTAGAAACTGCTGATAGGCTGTTCCAGGAAATACAAGCTTTGCAAAAACAAGTAGGTGAGTTGGAATGCAAACTTGATATTCAAGCTCGGGGTGCCAAATCTCTTGAAGATATAACGTCAGAGCTGAAAATGTTGGAAAGAACTAGGTCGGTTGGCTCCTTTCCCTGGAATAATAATAATTATGTTTTAATATTTTATGAATCTGAGTTTTCTCTCTTTTTTATTTTATTTACTGCCTTGTGACCATCATATTTAGATTGATGAAGTCATCAACCATGGCCATATAATATTTGGTTCTATGCAGTAATCTGTATATTTTTGTGTTAATCTGATGCAGGAATTCCTTGGTTGATGATGTGGACAAATTAAGAACTGATCAAATGGCCATGGGCAATGAATTGACAACCCTTCAACTACGGTGGAGTAGTGTGAGAGAAGAGAAAATTAAGGTTGCGAATACTTTATCCAATGTTAAGAGAGCAGAGGAAGAGCTGGATCGTCTTACTGAAGAGAGAAATCAGATTGACCTTGATTTAAAGGTAGTTCTTGGAGTGGCAGAATCACACCCCCGTTTGCTACAGAATGCATGTTAGATCAAAACTTTCTAAGATTTTCTCTAATTTTTCTATCAATTCTCTCTACCCATGCCACCTCTGTCCCCGATCATGAAACTTTGCCATGACCCTCGCTTTGGTAATTTAAAAAGAGGATGTTAATTTTTTCCTGTGAAAATTATTGTTTAGAATCTGTTTGGTTTGAGTCATAAGCAGCCGATCTGCATTATCATAATTAAAAACTAGAGGTCTTTTTGTATTCTCTTGTATATCTACATAGTGCCTTTGGCTCTCATTTACTTTGTTGACAAACATTTGGACTGTGTTTGCTTTCTATTCTGCAATTATTTTAACCATGTAAAAGCGCACACCGCGTGACTATAATGTCCAAAGTGACTTTGTCTTACACGCATTTGTAAGTGTGCTACAATAATTATTAAATAACTATCTCACCTAGAAGCTTAAGGTGAGATAGTTGTTTGACATGGTATCGGAGCAGGAGATAGTTTAAGCTCTTAGGTGAGATAGTTATTTAATAATAATTAGAACTTAAAAAGTATTCACTCTCAAGGACTGGAAAATGTTAAAAAAAACAAATATTGTAGAATGGTAGGATTATGCAATTATTTGATGGATTAGTTTTTACCCACTAATATTTGGAGCTAAAATGAAATAATCAATATAGATTTGATTACTCTTGTCATATAAACTTAATCTAGAGGATTTAGTATGTGCTGATGATAGGACTGCCTATCACCATCACAAAATTTTATACTTATTATTATTCAATTGAAGGAAATAAGAGACTTCAGATCTCGCGTACATATCCATTTCTAATTGAAAGATACAGAATAAACTTTACTAGGAAACGCTTGTACAGGGAATACTTGAAAAATAATTCCTATTCAAGTTGGAGACATTTGAATTGTGTTTCACTTCTTATGTTTCTATATGAATTGAGTTACTCTCATGCCTTAGTGAGCACATTGATTACTTTGTTATATAAGAATGGCTGATAGAAGTGATTCTTCTGTTTTGTTGCTATCTCCATGACTACATCTAATATTTCAACATGACATTTGTTTCTGTTAGTTAAAATTTCGAAAGTGACAAGCAGGCCATGACCACTACACCATTAGTCTTACTTTTTGATATTTTTATGAGATTAAGACCTGCTGTGGCCTATCTTCCTAGGAATTGGAATATGTTATATGTTTTGAATTGTAGTATTGGGCTATGCCCATTAGCCTAGCCCATTAGATTTCGTATTGGCGTTTTTGTTGTACTTCAATTTGTGGTTGGGAAAGAATTAGGGTGTGTTCTTTTTGTGAAAACAAACCAATACATTTCCCCCCAAAAATTAATATATTACCCACTCATTACTTTCCTATTACCTACAGAATTCCATTTACGTTACATAAAAAAATATCCCTTCAAACTATTTCACAAAACAAACACACCCTTATTCTTCACATGGTATTACAATATTCATATGAATACATAAATATAGTCTCTGTTCACCATTTCTGATTTCCTTCATATTGTTTTTCTTTTATTTTGGTCAATATGCAGCATTTGGCGGAAGCTGTTGATCCTTTATTAAAGGAGAAAAAGAAACTGCTTGATGACTACAACAATTTGGAAGTCAAGCTTAATCATGAATATGAATTGCAGGCCGATCACTGCAGAAAGTGCCAAACGGAAGTTGACACACTGCTTAAGATGTATTCTACAATTAAGGAGTATGTTTTCTTGGACATAAGATCTAATATTGGTTTTCTTTTGTTAATATCTTCCATAATTAGGTCTATTTGTCAGATATGATAGCCAGAATAAGGGGGAAAGATTAAGAACTTTACAAGAAAAGCAAACTGCAACCGAATCTGAGATACAAAGTTGCGGGATGAGAATGAATGAACTTTTGAAAGAACTAGAAAAGAGCAGAGACCTGATACGCAAGCAGTCAGACTTAAAGCGTAATATTGAGGAGAACATAGAATACAGGAAGTTGAAGTCTCAAGTGGAACAGCTCACTCATGAGATTGAATCACTTGAAGAGAATGTATTGAAAATTGGTGGGGTTTCCAAAATTGAAGCTGTTCTTCGCAAGCTATCGCAAGATCGGGAAAGTCTCCTTACTGAGGTTTGAGCAATTCTATAATATAATATAATTTTATATTTATTTTTATTTTTATTTTTTTAGTTTTTATTAATGTTGCATTGTGATACACCATCAGATAGCCAAGTAAATGTAATTGAGGAATTGAAGCTGATTTTGGTGGGTCATTATGGTGATGATCTAATGAATTGAATTCAGAGTAATTTCTTTGTTGGTGGTTATGGCACATAGAAGATCATATGCTGTAGAGATAATGGCCATCTTACATGTCCTTGGGTGGTAAAATGTAGGATGAAATGAAGATTATAAACATTATTCTGAATCCAAATAATTAATCTGCAAAGGAAAACTGATTCACCTATTTGCTAAGCCGAAGCTATCACCAGCCAAAAACTCACTTGTTTCCTTTGACTTAGATGAAACCTTTATCCGTGGCCTTTGCCTCTAGTTGAATTGGCTGGTGGTGTGATCCTAGATGGCGCCGCTGTTGGGTTTGAGGCCGTAGATTCAATATTCACCGCGGCTGCGTCGGTGCATACTGTCACTGACAATCTTCACGCATCATCACCATTTGAGTCATCAGAATGGCAATTTGTTCTCGATAAGTTTCAAACTTTGTTGTGCTGTCACAACAGATATAAGTCTTCGGCTCCCTCAAAATCCCAACTGATTCTTCCAAGTCATCTAGGGATTGTACTACTCAGGTAGTGGTAGGTATAAATCTGTCAAAAGGTGATCTGACAAGTCCGACTAATTAATAGAATGTAGGATAGAACGAAAAATAATGTACTTTATTCTGAATTCGAAGAATTAACTTGAAGAGGAAAACCAATTCTCCCTTTTACCAAGCTGAAGCCTTCACTCAACCAAACGCTTAATAATCCGCTTTGACTTAGGTAAATCCCTTATATTCGAGCCCATTTACGTGGATTCAAGAAACTAAATAAAAGACTAAAAGGGTAAGTTCAAATTAAATAAAACTATTACATTTTGAGAGAATTTATGAGTTGTTTATTAATAATAAAAATTAAGATCTATTTATAGACTTGGTACAAAAATAACCAACTCAAATAATGACCTAATCTAGTAGATATGACTAAATAATAACCCAAGTAACTTTAGGCATATCTAGATTTGAGTTGGACATGAGTTTTAATGAATATATTATTATTTTGGTTGATTATGATATAAAGTAAGTGTATTTTTTAAAGTATATGGTTAAGTTGATGACGTGAGAGAACTTTTGATAAATTGAGTGTGCAAGTAGTAGTAACTGTCAAAGAATAGCTGAGTTATAATGTTGTTGAGATATTTTAGATATTTAGTTTTAGATTTAGTAGATTTATATCTAGATTTGATCTTATTCATAGATTAGATTACTTAGATTTGAGTCTATCGAGTATATTTTGTATTGCCTATATATAGGCTCTTTATTTTGATTATCAAGAAAACAAGCTTTAGAGTTTATGCAAAATATTTTAACATGGTATCAGAGCTTTATGAATTTTTCTAGGATTTTGTAGTCTTCTTCAAGCAGCCTTCATCGCTGTGTTTTGTTTTGGCCTTAATTGCTGTGAATTTTTCTTCTTTACTAAGTCATGTCTGAAACCATCTCCAACCCTTTCGAAGAATTTAACTCTATTCAGAAAATTGGAGAACTGCAGAATATCCGGGCATCCAATGGGTTCAATAGCGAAGAAATTGAGAGATTGAGAAGTTTGTTGGGGACTCTTGAGAAGCCTTCTGGAACATATTCAATAGCTCTTTTAGGTAATCTTGTGTGCATGAATGTCTTAGACAAATTATGTACCAACTCTTGGATCATGGACTCCGGTGCTGCAGACCATATGACCCCCACATCTCAACTCTTCCACACCTATACCCCATGTCCAATGGTTCCTTAGCCAATGTTGCAGGGATTGGACATATACATATCACACTTAGCCTTATCCTTAAAAATGTTCTCCATGTGCCCAAATTGTCAACAAGCCTTGTTTCCATTCAAAAGTTGACTCATGATCTTAAATGCTATGCTGTTTTTTGCTCTTCTTATTGTGTTTTTCAAGACCAGGACTCGGGGAAGAGGATTGGACTTGCTAAGGAAAGGAACGGTCTTTACCACCTTGAACCATCTAAAAAACCTAAGAGTAACTTGTCTTCTTCTATCCTTAGTTCCTCGAATAAAGATGCCATTTGGCTATATCACCTACGTTTTGGTCATCCTTCTTTTAGGACTTTAAAAATAATGTTTCCTCATATGTTCCAAGGATTAGATATTTCTGAATTTCATTGTGACATCTGTGAATTGGCAAAACATACCAGTGCATCTTTTCCTATTAGCAATAAAAGAAGTTCTCATCCTTTTCAGTTGATTCATAGTGACATATGGGGTCCTTCCACTATACCTAATGTTTCTGGGGCTCGTTGGTTTGTGTCCTTAATTGATGATTGCACTCGGGTCACATGGCTCTTTCTTCTTAAACAAAAATCTGATGTTAGCACTGTTATACCTAATTTTCATTCAATGTTTCAAAATCAATTTGGGGTCAAAATAAAAAGATTTAGAACAGACAATTCTAAAGATTATTTCAATCAGATTCTGTCACCTTACTTTCAATCACGGGATTATCCATGATTCATCATGTGTGGAGACACTTCAACAAAATGGGGTAGCTAAAAGAAAGAATAGGCATTTACTCAACACCACCCGAGCCTTACTGTTTCAAGGGAATGTTCCTAAGTCCTATTGGGGAGAAGCCGTTCTTACTGCCACGTATATGATAAATAGATTTCCCCCCATGGGTTAGAAAACAAAAGCCCCGTAGCGGCCCTTCATAGCTTTTACCCTCACTTTAAAACCTCAAATGGCATCACTCCTAGGGTATTTGGGTGTACCGCCTTTGAGGGTCATGTCCACAAACAACATAGAGGGAAGCTAGACCCTAGAGCCATCAAATGTGTTTTCCTCGGTTACTCATCTACTCAAAAGGGATACAAATTTTACAACTCCTTGGCCAAAAAATTTTACATCTCTGCGGATGTCATTTTCATAGAAAATAGACCTTTTTTGTAGTCCTCTCTTCAGGGGGAGATTTCAATGATGGAAGATAGTACTTGTGAGTCTTTCGAATCACTTAAAACCCTTGACCTTCCGCATGTGCCACCCCGCAGTCACTCAGAACAAAACCCTCCTCATGTTCCGGTTGAACTTGAATCCTCTGAACTAGTCACATCTGAGTCACCCGATCCTGTCACTGAACCCATATCATCTCCTTCTCCAACCAACATCACTCACAATTTTCCAAAGTTTCCTCAAGTGTATTCAAGGAGAAAGATCGTTCCTGAACTGACACAAGTCCAAGAATCCAATCCAAATTCTGAGAAAGAAATCACGGTAAGATCATATCCACCTTTACACACAATCTGTTGAATAGTCCACTGATTCAACTACTATTCTGGATCTTCCCATTGCTGTTAGAAAAGAAACCAGAGAATGCACTAAACGACCACTCTATCCTCTATCTCACTATGTCTCTTTTAAGCGCCTATCGCCATCCCAAAAGGGATTCATTATGAGTTTGAACACCATTGCCATCCCTCACAATGTGTCTAAGGCATTGTCAAAAAGGGAATGGAGGGATGCAATGAGAAAAGAGATGAATGCATTAGAGAAGAATAAAACATGGAAGATCGTTGATAAACCAAAGGAAAAAAATATTGTTGATTGCAAATGGATTTTTATATTGAAGTACAAGGCTGATGGATCCCTTGAAAGATATAAAGCAAGGTTAGTAACCAAAGGATACACTCAAACTTATGGGGTGGATTATCAAGAAACATTTGCTCCAATTGCAAAAATGAACACAGTAAGAATTTTGTTATCATTGGCTGCCCACTTTAATTGGCAACTGCTACAATATGATGTTAAGAACGCATTCCTCTATGGTGACTTAAATGAGGAAATCTACATGAACATTCCACCAGGATTTTAAGGGGACACTGGTAACAAGGTGAGCAAACTAAAAAAAGCCCTTTATGGGTTAAAACAATCTTTTAGAGCATGGTTTGGCAGATTTGCAAAAGTCATGAAGGAATTTGGGTACAAACAAAGCCAAGGTGACCACACGCTTTTCATTAAGCATTCAACTGTAGGGGGAGTGACTGCTCTTTTAGTTTATGTGGACGACGTCATAATGACTGGAAATGATGAGAAAGAGAAGCATGAATTAAAGCTGAGACTAATGAAAGAATTTGAAATAAAAGAACTAGGGAAATTGAAGTATTTCCTCGGTATTGAGGTGGCATATTCCAGAAAGGAATCTTCATATCTCAACAAAAGTACGTGCTTGATTTATTGGCAGAAACAGGGAAGATTGGGTGTAAGCCGATTTCTACTCCAATAGATCCAAACTATAAATTGGGAGAAGCTAAACAAGAACCAGTTGTGGATAAAAGAATGTACCAGATGTTGGTTGGCAGACTTATATACCTTGCTCACACTCGACCAGGCATAGCATATTCTGTAAGTTTGATCAGCCAATTCATGCATGATCCAAGAGAACCTCATCTTCAAGCTGCTTACAAGGTACTGCACTACTTGAAAGGCAATCCAGGGAAAGGAATCTTGTTCAAAAGGAATGACACTCTTAATTTGGAAGCCTACACCGATGCTAACTATGCTGGCTCCCTAGTGGATAGAAGATCAACTGCAGGGTATTGTACTTTTCTTGGAGGTAACCTAGTGACATGGAGGAGCAAGAAGCAGAATGTAGTGGGCAAGGTCATCAACAGAATCAGAATTTAGGGCAATTGCTTGAGGATTATGCGAATTACTTTGGCTGAGGATCATTTTGGATGATTTGAGAGTCAAAAGGGAGGGTCCTATGAAGCTTTACTGTGACAATAAGTCAACTATTAATATAGCTCATAATCCTATACAACATGATAGGACAAAGCATATTGAAATTGATAGACATTTCATCAAAGAAAAACTAGATGAAGGGTTAGTATGTATGTCCTATGTTTCATCAGAGAGACAATTAGTCGATGTTCTAACAAAAGGGATGAACAGTCCGAGTTTCCATGATCTTGTATCCAAGCTGGGAATGGAAGACATCTATTCCTCAGCTTGAGGAGGAGTGTCAAAGAATAGCTGAGTTATAATGTTGTTGACATATTTTAGATATTTAGTTTTAGATTTAGTAGATTTACACCTAGATTTGATCTTAATCATAGATTAGATTACTTAGATTTGAGTCTATCGAGTATATTCTGTATTGCCTATATATAGGCTCTTTATTTTGATTATCAAGAAAACAAGCTTTAGAGTTTATGCAAAATATTTTAACAGTAACATATTTGTAAATAAGTTTGTTATTGAAGGGTATAGATTAAGAAGTGTGTAAGAGTTATTTGCTATTAATGGAAAGTGTATACTTTTTGTGGACAAACAAAAAAGGAAAACAAGCATAGATTTGGTGGACAGAAAGAGGAATTATCTGATCTAATATATATGTCGAAATAATAACTATCAAATCTAAATAGTATTAACCAAAATATCTAACTTAAATATATCTCAACATAAAGAAAAGCCCACCATTGATACATTAACCTTGTGCCACGATCAAGCCTACATGAATTCGGTCCTTTCCTCATTTGGCATAAACCTTAATATGGTCTGAGCTTATATCATTGAGCATGTTCTCCTTGGATTCACAGTGCTCCATTCCCCTCGAAATTGAACTCAAAACATCAATAATCCTGGCATCACTTTTCACCACATCTCTCGCTTGGAAAATGAATTGGTTGACTTCATTGCAAAATGTGGAGAGGTTTCAGTTATCTCTCAATTTGACTGTAGCTTCAGAAATTCCAGTTTTGTTCAGATCTTTTTGATGGAGCCCCTGTCTCAGCTCCTTTGCCCCATATTAACTTCAGGCCCCTACTATCTTAGTCCCTCCTTGTGTCTCCTTATGCCTCTTATCTATCAGGAGCTCCTTCTCCTCATGTTGCAGTCTAACTCATCTCTAATTTTGTGTACTATATTTTTTGAAAAGAAATTATTTTGTAATTTTCTTCTATGATGCTATTCTGGTTGTTTGAATGTAGGACTTTGTGCTTTATCACCGTTTTGAATTTTGATTGTTGGTTTCCGTAGCTAAGAGTATAATTGTTCCTTTCAGCTGAACAGGTGCCGTGGAACCTTGTCTGTATACAGGAGCAACATTGATGGGAACAAAGCTGATCTTAAGCAGGCACAATACAAAGACATTGACAAACGTTATTTTGATCAGCTAATTCAGCTGAAGGTGATTTCAAATTAAGATTCTTAGCCTTCTCTTTCTAGAAAAGATAAACAAATGGCAACCTATGTGATTCTCTGTTGTAAATCTGAATTTTTTCTTAACAGACAACTGAAATGGCGAACAAGGATCTAGACAAGTATTACAAAGCACTTGACAAGTAAGTGCATCGGTATTTATTAGTCATCTGCAGATGTGTGCTTTTTGATTCCTAAAATTATTCTGAAATCTTTCCTCTTTGGTGACATAAGAAAATTATGAGTTTAAGTGTGAATGTTGGTATGAGCAGTAGAGGTATACTTCATTGATTGAAGGTTTTCGTATTGTACTTCTGCTTTTGGCTGATAAATATACTGTGGATACACTTGGCGATACAAATCACACTTGTGCACTAATGTTGTTTCAAGTGTTCTAGAGTTTTCATTGTTCAGTCTTTTGTGCAGTCCTTGCTGTGCTTGTACATTGCACTTCTGTTTTATGCCTTGATCTTATACTTCACATACAGTACTTCCTGTAATTGAATAGGACTCAAGATTTCTTGAGATATTTTAGATGTTTAATTTATGGTTCAGATTAGATTTTTATTATCTAGATTGTCATTATTTGGTTATTTCTATTTGATTAAATTGTTATTATTTGAGTCTATCGCATTTGCGTGTCTATTTATAGGCTACTTGTTTTATTTTAATAATATGCAATTCTAAATATTCTACAAAAGGTAATATAGTATCATAATCATGTTTCTCCGGATACACTCAACCTGGAATGTGTCCGGAGGTTTCCTGATTTTGAAATCTGCCTGCAATTTCTCGTTTGTTAAGTTTATTTTTCGTCAAATTGGGTGTATTTGTTTACTATTTTGGTTTAAGATATTTTTTATGTGAGTATAGAGAATCGTATCGGTAATGTAAAAAATAATATTTTGTATTTAATGTTGACATTTTGTGTGATGATATAATATATATTATATAAATTCGAAATCATGTCGGGTAAAAAAATGGTCGGGCAAACAAACCCTTTGTTTTTCGGTTTCAATAAATTTTATGCTCGGCCATTGATTGTTTTCGTGATTCTACTCAGAGCCTTGTTTTCGACTATATTGAGGTCTCGTTTCTGATTCTAACTCCGTTATAAGTGAGTCTTGACTCTGTTGTGAGCGAGTTCCGTTTTCAACTCTAACTTAGTTGATAGTGTTGTTTATGAGTATGAAACACCCCAGCCCGCAAGCGACGCTGGCCGAGCGTGTCGGGATTAAGCTAGCCCCACAGGTCAAAACGAGTCTTTCCAGTGAGCTTTTGTCTTCACTCATGCATACTTTGGAGACTTCCCAATGTCACCCTTCTTGAAATTACTCTAGAGCAAACACGTTTAATTTTAGAGTTCCTTCAAGTGGAATTCCGAAAAAAAATGTGCACATTATTGACATGAGTAGTGTATTTAAGCCACTTAATCTCTATTTAATTTTGGATGAATCTCGGATACCCTAGCACCGTCTCATCTAAACACGAGAATTGACCTAGCACTAGCCCAACTCGAGGTATCACACTGACATAATGAACAAGTTTTGATCTTTCTTAGCAAACTCTAATTGTTTGCTCGTCACCACTTGAGCTTGAGAGGATGTTGAGATATTTTATATATTTAATTTATGGTTTAAATGAAATTTCTATTATTTAGATTAGATCGATATTATTTGGTTATTTATATTAGATTAGGTTATTATTTAGTCCATTGAGTTATCGCCCTATTTATAGGCTAATGATTTTATTATACTACTTGTAAATTTTGCTAACAGTTTGTGGAGGATTTCAAAGACTATTTTTATGGCACACTTATCTTGCATAATACATGCACCGGGTGATAATACTTACACAAACCATTTTATTTCATGTTAGAGCACTGATGCGTTTCCACTCAATGAAAATGGAGGAGATTAATAAGATCATACGAGAACTGTGGCAGCAGACTTACAGGGGACAGGATATAGACTATATCAGTATTCACTCAGATTCTGAAGGTGCTGGTACTCGATCTTACAGTTATAAGGTAATTTAAGCAGCTTCTTATCTGATCATGTGCCTTTCAATTTATCGAAAAATGGCTACTATGTTACTTCTGCAGTTCTGCTCGGACATATTCAATCAAATGCCAGCATTTGTTCCTTGACTCATTCCAAGCTATACTACCTTAGCCTTAAATGTTAATTTTAGCCTATAACTGAGGATATTTCTGTACTTCATGATATTTATAGTGAGAAGTTACTGTGTCACGGTTATTTCCCATGATGAAAGTACTTCATTTCTATTTTCTTCTTGTCAAAACCTTTTCATAGATAGCAGCTGGAATAGTTTACTAGCAAAATTCATAAAATCTAATTCAATCTCATCTATTCTCTTTGTTATGCTTGATTCTGCCTTGACCAATTTATATGTGATGCAGGATAACATTTTACTTCTGCTTTCTAAAGAATGCACTTGTGTAATTAAAAATGAACATTGTTATGAAACACCAAGTATAAAATAAATCTCAACTTTTATGTGCGACCACAATTTTAAATTTTGTGACCTTGCATGACTAGGTTATTAATGCTCTATACCTTTCTATCTTTCACCATGGTGTTTTTCTATTGATTTTTTACTGTCATTTTCATTTTCTTTATTTACTATAATTGGCCTGAAAACATAATAAGTCCCTATAGGATAACATGTGAAGACTTGCTTGTTATATGAGTAAATTGCAAAAAATACCCACACTTATACTCTATTATCACTTTTGTCCATTTATCTCCCTGACAAAATATATCTCACATGTTTACAAAAGTCGTTATTTATGTCCTTTTCTCGCGTGTGAAATTCACACCACGCGCCCTTACGCGCAATCACGCGCAGTCAAATGATAGAAATAGCGATTTTTGAAAACATGTATTATATATTTTTTGCCAGAGATAAATACAGGATAAAAGTGATAATGAGGTATACGTGTGGGATATTTTTGCAATTTTCCCCTTGTTATATACTACTCCGTTCGTCCACAAAATATGCATGTTTCCCTTATATGTTTGTCCAAAATGACTCTTACCCTATAGGATTATATGTGAAAGGCTTGCTTGTTATATGCTACTCCATTCGTCCACAAAATTTATGCATGTTTTCCTTATTTGCTTGTCCAAAATAACTCTTACGTTTCTTAATTTATACTGTCAACATTATATTTATATACAAATATGCCACAACTATTTGCACACTCAATTTATCAATTTTTGTTTTTCATCTCATTAATTACTTTTGAAAGTACTTTTATTTTCTTATCACAATCAACCAATATAATACTATATTCATTAAAAACTCGTGTTCAGCTCAAAAGATCATAAATTTTATAGACGGAGGGAGAGCTAGACTTGCTTTTTATATACTTGCCATGCCTGGCATCACATTTCAAGGAGTTTGCATTGGTCGCATATTTTTTTCATCTACTTAAATATATGGTTCTACTCAAGTCATTCGATGCCTTTTTTCAGTTATCAAGCTTGTTAAGGGTTTGTTCACTTTGTGATTATGGATGAATGTATTTTTTATGTAAAGTATGGAGAATTGTGTCAATAATATAAAAGATAATATTTTGTGTTGAATTGTTAACTTTTCGTGGGTGAATAGAATATATATTATATATATTTTGCAATATGCGTTTATATTATACTTTTTGTAATATTAATAAAAAATTGTGCCACCTAAAAAGTATTGGATGAACAAACCCTAAAGTTTTGAAACGCATACATTTTTCGAGTTTAAGGTTTTTTTTTTAAAAATCAATTTTTTAATTTGTGTGGATTCATGTGCCAACTCACTGTTCAATTTCAGGTCTTAATGCAAACTGGAGATGCTGAACTAGAAATGAGAGGAAGATGCAGTGCTGGTCAAAAGGTAAATGACTTTCAAAACCTTTTCATCAAATTAGTTATATATTTATGATTAAGAACAGTCACTGTATATTGTCCCATTTTCCCATTTTTTGTCTCCTCAATCCTTAAGTGTGGGTTTATTTGTTCCCTGGATTATTTTGGATTTGAAATTTTATTATTTTACTTAGGGTAAATTGATTTTTTTAGTCCTGTAATTGAACTTTTTCATCACTTTAGTCTCATAATTAGAGTTTGTCGCAAACTAGTCCCGTAAATAAAAACATTTAGCAATTTTAGTCATCCGGCACCAGAAATGTCTGCGTGGCACCCGCGTGGCTCGCTAGAGGACACGTGTCCGCCAGGTTGGCGACACCAGGTGGACCCGTTGATTTTTATTCTTTTTTTAAATTTTTTTCTAAATTTTTATTTTTCAATATTTTTTTTTTAAAATTTCTAATTTTTACAAAAATGAAAAAATAAATAAATAAAAATTCACGTGTCCTTCAAAGTGTCGCTCTGGCGGACATGTGTTCTCCGGCGCGCCACGCGAGTTTCAGTATTCGTCTCCGGCGTCAAAGGACTAAGTGTGAAAATTTCAACTTACGAGACTAATTTGCGAAAAGCTTCAGTTATGAGACTAAAATGATAAAAAGGTCAACTTACGGACTAAAAAATAAGTTTACCCTTTTATTTATTTATTTAGACTGGATAATAGGTCTTCAATGTTGATATAAGAGTAAAAAATTACACAAGTGAAGATGGAGATGAAAACATAAGTGAACATACCCTAACCAACTAAAATATAAATTTCTATCTGGATTAAATAGATGAGGGTTGATATGTTACTCTTTTGGTTGTCTGGGAATTTAATAGTTACATGTATTTTTATTGAGGGACCAAAAATGGACGAATGCCATACTGCAGGAGCTTTACTGGGAGTATATACAAATAATGAAAAGTACATAGAAGAAATTGCTCCTCTTTGCAATGGAACAGGCTAAATTGGGTCATATTTGTTTCTTGGAAATTTGATGGTTACATTGACTATAATATTCTCTGGGTTGTTGCTCTCACTCTGAGTTGTGTTTTGTGTTTTTCTCTAAATTCAGGTACTTGCATCACTCATAATAAGGTTGGCTTTAGCTGAAACTTTTTGCCTCAATTGTGGAATACTAGCACTTGATGAACCTACAACAAATTTGGATGTCCCTAATTCTGAAAGCCTGGCAGCAGCGCTGCATAGGTATGCATGCCTTACGTAATGGAAGATAGGAAGTGAGATAGTTAGCTTGAAATGACATACATAGTTGGCTTGACGCCTGCAGAATAATGGAAGATAGGAAAGGGCAAGAGAATTTTCAGCTTATTGTCATCACTCACGATGAACGATTTGCTCAACTCATTGGGCAGCGACAACATGCCGAGAAGTACTACCGCATCACTAAAGATGATTAGTAATCTCCTCCTATTTCTTTTCCTTTTCTGCCTTCTTTTTTTATTTCTTAATTATATCTATCTTTCCGATATTGACTCTCAAGTGTGTTTCTTCCCTCCTTTTCAGCCAGCACAGCATTATTGAAGCTCAACAGATATTTGATTGACATCACTCAGGTAGTCATCAATATATATATGTATGTACGTCTTGTCTGCCAAATTATGTATGGATAGTAGTCCCCAGTGTTAAGATTATGGTTTAAGCAAGTATTATGATCCATATGTATTTCTTAACTTTACATTGGGGTGGGAATGATTTTTGGTTCATGATTATGTTGGTGGTTCTTATAACTTATTTGGATGCTTAGATTGTGTGTGTGTTTGCTATTTCACCTTATAAATTCTGGAGTCCTTCCTAGGCTATATTCTTTATGTATGAGAGTAGGAGTTTTTTCCTTTAGGTCTTGTCTGTCATATCTGTCATACATGTATCATTTGCCTTATGGAGACTAGTTTGCATGTCAATTTAGTCAGAATGCACTCGTAAAGTAGCCGTAGCAGACATCATTAAAAAAAAAGAATAAAATAATATGGTGCACATTTTATAACTATTCTTATTACTGTGAGTCAGAAAGTAGAGCAGAGAGTGTGGTTTCGAGGGTATATGTATGTAACAAATGCAGAAGAAGAGAAGTGATGGATAATGTATGTGGGGTGGGTCAAGAGGATTTGATTAACCAAAACAAAACTATAAGAAAGCAATTTTATTTTATTAAAGTGTTTTTCTTTTAAAAAAGAAGTTAAATGTAATAAATTTAAATTATTTTTAAATTGTCAATTATCATGGCATGGTATGGCATGTTAAATAAAGTAAATATATTTTACCTTGAGTCCTTATAATTTAATTTGAAGTCTTGTCAACACTATGGAGGTGTTCTTTCGTTTTACAATAAATAAAAAAAAAAATTAAATATTTTATTTGGATTAATACTATAAAGGATACAATATATATTTACATAAAATATATAATATATATTCTTTTCATTTAAAGAAATTAGCAATTAAGATAATTTACTAGTATTAAAGATGTAGATTATATTTTGATTTTGTTACTCTCAAATAATTTGGGCATAATTAAATAGCCCAACTTGAGGAGGTGATAGACCGACCCAAGTGGCCTGATCTGGTACAAGAATTGCGCACGGATGAAGATGTCGGATCCGAATAAGGGAGCATGAGAGAAGTTCGAAAATAATTTCTAAAATAATAAAGAAGTGGAAAGTTGAGAGGTTGAGAAAAATATAAATACGGACAAAGAGAAAGAGGGATGTCCAACACCTCACAAAAAGATTCCACAATTTTCTTCCTATTTTGTTCTTTATTTTTTCTCTTTTTTGTTCTTTATTTTTTTCTCTATATTTTTATTGTATTGTATTCTATTTTCTATATTTTAGGCAAAATTTTCCGTAACTTCCCCGTGGTTTCGAAACTCAGCGTAAATACCCCCTCTACTTTAAAAATTGCATGACGCTCCCTTATACTTTAAAAAATATTGCATGAAATTACTTTGTGGTGTCAAAATTCAGTATAAATTCTCATTTTATTTTAAAAAATTGCATGACGCTCACTTATACTTTCAAAAATATTGCATAAAACCTCTCTGTCATGCAAAACATATAGATAGGAAATCATCTTTTTATTACACGAGAAAAGTTTCATGGTTGTGGGGTTTGATGCAACGTTTTTTGAAATATAAGGGGATACCATGCAATTTTTAAAGTACAGAGATTTTACGCTGAATTTTGAAACCATGGGGGAATTATACCTATATTTTATCTATTCTTTCTATATTCATGCCGTTACTTTTTCAAAGTAATTAAAGTATATTTTCGGTCCTATTTTTACATTGTTTTTCACCCTTAGCATTAATTTGCTCAAATTCATCAAAGCCAATCAGTTCCAGATTCATCAGTCACTACGAGTTAGGAGGATCCCGATTGGCCTAAATCCATTAGGCCATCCACATTGATGGAGAAACCCACGTAGGATAAAATAAAATAAAATAAAAATAAAAAAATTAATTTTTTTTATTGCCAGCGTGTAGACCTGGTTGCTTCTGTAGCACCTCCACGAAACCTTGACATAGGTGTATTCTATGACAAAAAATATATTTCTCTTTAGTTATTTTTTATATATTATATTTTTATTATATATATATTTATTAGTAATTTTTATATTTTTATATTTTATAAAATTTTATTCTTTACAAAATGATATCAATATTGATATATTTTTGTGTAATAAAATTTTAATTAAATATAATTAATTAATAATAATAACAATTTAATTTTCTAATTATCTTATAATTTATTCATTAAATTACACAAATAATTAATATATATATATAATTACTTAATATATAATTGAATTTTCACATCACATTAATTTTCTTAAATTGATTATTGTACAAGTTTCTTACTCAATTCTTATATTTATCATTGCAGTATCAAATCAATAAAATTTATTTTATTTTTTTAAAGAGACGTAAATACAAAAAATTGTATCATAAAATTAAATTTTCACATCACATTAATAATAAATATTTTTTATTTATTATAAATTAAATTATTGAATAAATAAATACTAATAAATATGTATATTAGATAAAAATTATTATTATTTAAAGTATTTTAAAAATAGATAATTTATAATATGGAGGAAAGAGAAATTAAAATTTGTGTAAATAAGTTTCTTTGATGAAAGTATAAAATGAAATGAGTTTCTCCGATGACGTGGTAGAGAGAGAATATGACGTGGAAGAGAAGAGAGAAGAAAGAAACCCATGTTGGGTTTCATTTATGCGGATGGCCTTAGGCAGTCATCAACGAATTTTCAAGATAACAAATTTAATACTTCGTTTTATATTTTTAATTTTAAATTTATCGTAACATATAAATTTAAAATCAACATTAGTTTTATTTTAAATTAATTGTATATATATATTTTTAACTGTATGTAATTTATCTAATATAAATTGTATATACATTACAAAAAAGTAAGACTTTTGTATCATCTTTTTTTTTTATCCCTAAATCATCTTTTTTTGTTACGAAATTCATTAAATTTCATCTTCTAAAGTTCACGTAATGTCACCCATTCCTAATTTTTGTTATAAATGTGTTATTTTTTTGTAGTAATATTTTAATATATTTAATTCATTTTTTTTAAAGGTTGTAAAAATCAAAACAAAGGAATAGGCGAGACAAAAGATAATGTGCATGAAGTTACATCTACACATCCAATATCACAAGTAATGATTCTATAATTATTGAATTTGAAAAATAATTGACCGTAGGACAGACTATAAGTGATCCTAAAAATGTATATTTAATATATTGTGAATATTAACATTGTAAGGATTTTAGTGTTCAAAAGGGAAAACAAATTTTTTTTGTCATGATAATAGTAGAGAACTATACATAAAAGAATTTATTTGTCTTTGTAGTGAAAAAAAAAAAAAAAAAAAAAAAAAAAGATATTGGTAAAAATAATCAATCTAAGTATCGAAAATTTGATATCCAAACCAGATGTACTACGTGTCTTAGAATTGGTTGTAAAAGAGAGAGAGAATGGAGGATGACTATTTTTACCATTGAACATAATCACCAATTAGATTTACCTGATTAAATTATACGTTGAAAACAACTCCTAGTATTTCTAAGCATGGATCAACTGAAATGGATACACTTAGCACCATGCTAAGACTTAAAAGTTAAATATTTTAATTGTATAATTAATTTTTATTATTAATATAATTATGATAATTAATTGTAAGGCATTTCAACATGTGTTGAATTATTGTTATTTTTATTCTTTTTTTTTTTAAGTATATGATCCTTAAAGTTAATTCATTGTTTTAAACAAAAATTAAATGAAGATAAAAAATTTTATTAGGATTTTCAAGTCAATATCAATGGTAGAATATATTACTAATATTATTTTTTTGATGACGTGAGAACTCACAGCCGCTACCCGAAAATACGCACTGGGTGAACCCCTGGTCGAACCTAATACCCTGAAAACTAGGCCCGACTAGGGAAGTCACACTAGGCGAACCATTTGTGGCAGATGACCTGAGGCGTCGGGGGTTTGAATCCATGACCTCACGGTCACAAGTCCAACCCCACACCACCAAGTTATCCCTTAAGAGACTATTATTATTATTAGAGATTGTGGCCACGACAAAATTGAAAAAACTACCTGATCATCTTAAACATCTATATCTTCGCAAAGTTGAATCATTCATGTTATTATCCTTGGTGCACTTCAAAAGGATTATGATAAACAACATATCACAATCTTGAGAAAGTATAAGGAGGCCATTGCATGGAAGATTAGGGACATTGTAACATGTCCGGTGCTAGGTCAACTTCCACGTATGGATGAGTCGGTGCTAGGCCATCCAAGATTGAATAGAGACTAAGTAGATTGAATAGACTACTCATATAAACTATGTGTATATTGCTTTTCGGGAGTCTTACTAAAAGAACTCTAGAGTTAATTTGCTTACTCTATGGTAATTTAAAGATGTGTGACCTCCTAGGAAGACTCTCGGGGTGCACATCAGGACAAAATCGCGCTGGAAAGACTCATGTTGGCCTGTGAAGCTAGTCAAATCCCGACACGTTCGGTCTGCATGGCTTGCGGGTTAGGGTGTTACAATTGGTATGATGTGATTCCATTGGAGTTGGATTAGTTCTAGGCCAACTCTCGTATATGGATGAGCCGGTGCTAGGTCATCCGATATTGAATAGAGATTAAGTAGATTGAATAGACTACTCATGTAAATAATGTGCATTTTTTTTTTCAGAAGTCCTACTGAAAGAATTCAAGAATTACGCGTGCTAGCTCTACGGTAATTTCGGGATGGGTGATCTCATGGGAAGTCTCTCAATGTGCACATGAGTGAGGATAAAATCGCGTTAGAATAACTCGTGTTGACCTCATCTCTGGGGCCAGTCTAATCCCGACACGTCCGGTTTGCATGACTTGCGGGCCTGGATGTTATAGTCATTAAGGGTATTAGTCTTGTGATATGCAAATATAATACTCACTTCGTCCAACTTACCATGTCCACCTTTCAAATTCTGTTTATTCCACTTATTTTGTCATTTTCTTTTTTAGAAAAGAATTATATATTTTCATCTCATTTTAATTTTTAAAATCTATAAATTTTTAATTTTAATTAGACTAATTATTTATCTTAATCTTAATCTATAATTAATTTTGTTATACGATAATTATTTTCACTAATATATTCTTATTATTTATTAATTATACCCCTTTTAAATTCATGTGTCTACAGTAAAGTGGACGACACCATAGCCGGGACAGAGGAAGTATCTACTAGGAAGACAATGTCAAATCTTGATGTCAACCACAAAAAAGATTGAATAAAGACATTAAATAAGTTGGCAAGAAAGATGTGCTCAAGTTATTAATGTTGGTACCCAAGAAATGAGGCTTATGAAGAAGGCTAAAGAGAATGGCAAATTTT